TTAATATAAAGAAGGTAGCAGCACGGAGGGTTCCCTTCGGTTTAATCCCATGTTTTTTCTCCCTCAGCCCTGGATCTGCCCACCAGAAGACACAGACACCCACACACCCCCACCCCACTGCCCCTTCCAGTACTCGGTGCACAGTACCAGCCCTTTAACACGAGCATACCACACTTATTCTGGTAACTACCTGCCCCCTCCCTCCCAATAATGCTTTTATTTTCTTCACCTGAGATTGCCAAATTACTGTGCACTGAAATTAGCAGCACCTGGATGATGGCCACTAAGCCTAGACTTGGAGGTAGCACAGCAGTCCTGCCCAGGAACAAGCACTTGGCTCGTAAAAGCTCTTTGCTACAACTCCTTGCAAGGCCAACCCCAAACTCCATGGCCACCCACATAGTTCTGTGTTTAACAGCGAATTCTGAACAAGCTACATAGAAGTTGGTTGTAGACTATCAAGAAGTAGTTGTTTTCCTCTCATACTACAGATAAAAAAAAAAAAAGGCTAATTTATGGTTAAAAAAGGAAACAGAGTCCTACACCACTTACAGGTTTATTATTTCAGAAACAGCAAAACAAATCACTGTATTAGGAAAAACTATTTCAGCAATGTCTTTGGTATTATACAGTTAAACTATGGACAGAAAAAATACATAATAGCAAAAAATTAAAGCTTTGTCAAATATTGCATAGGCACCATATGCTTTTTCATTCCATTCTTCATTAAAGGACTAATAAACTAGGTGATAGGTAATAAACCCAGGTGTCCTGTGGTGATAAAGCAATGATCCTCTGAACACCCTGTAAGGACATTTGGTACAAAGACATACTTTTATTTCCATTCTTGCCCAAGTTATTGTCCACAATAGCTGTCTACTTGTTTAGTTATTATCCACAAAAACCTGTCTAGTCAGGATGTTTAGCAACACTCAGAACAAGCTGCCAGACTCCTTTCAGCTCTAGGGAATGTAGTGAGGCATTAAATGGATGAGTCTGGAGGGATAAAAAAAAAAGGGGGGGATGAGAGGAAAAAGGGGGAAGGGAGGTAAAGACATGCTGCGGCCTCATCAGAAACAAAAGTTAACTTCTTCCCTTCCAATGAGATGTCACTGCCTGACTTGCTGCCTGGTGGCCACAAAAAGTGAAGTGCGATGGGGACTACTGAAGCGTTCACTGAGCAAGCAGGGCATTTCTTGTGTTGGCAAAAAGTTAGAGACCTTCGCACTCAGATGCACGGGCCAAGAGAGTTGTACATGGCGGTTGCTGTGTATGTCTAAGTGGCTCTGTTATTCTAGTCAAGCCTGAGATGAAGGCCACAGAAGTGGATTCAGGCACAGCCGAAAGAGAACTAGTGCAGAAAGAGTAGCCCTATTCTAAAGGAACAGAACAATGTGTAATGACAGCTGCCAAGATGCCTCCGTTTTAGGGAGAGCAAAACCTGCCACAGAACAAAATGCTGGAAGTTTTGTTGTGCCGGATGAAGAAGAGGAAGGGATGATCGGCTGTGAATTCTGGAACAATCACTGCACAGCGCAGCATCATCACTCCTGCCGTGGCAGCTGCTGCTTCGGTGCCTTCTTCGTTGACTTCCACAAAGGACTTGTGAACTACTTCAGAGAGTACCAGCTCGTTGCCAGCTGAGATTCCCGAGAAGTCTGCCTTCCCCAAGTCAAATGCATCAGGCATTCCCATGCTGCTCAGAAGGGGTTTCAGATCATAATCTTCTTCCAGTTTAAATTTGGGTAGAGACACCCTCACCTCTGTACAGTCCATCATTTCAGGATTGATCCAATCTATCAGCTTCTCATACGTAAGTTCTCTTTCCAGCTAAAGAAAAACCCGAAAAATTACAAAATTAGTCAAGTTTTACACAGTCAAAAGTGGTGATTACTGTGTTTGTTTACACAGTGCATAATAGGCATCTTTTTTCAAGGGTGTAGAGCATCTCAAGCCAAAATTGCAAGTTGTACTTCTCGCTAGAGACTACAGCCCCAGCCAAGATCAATCCCATATGCTTTCTAGTAGACACAATAAGGATCAATCCCTTCCATATAAAGTTTACTTTTGTAAAACATGCAAGATTGAGGTTGTTTGGTGGTGGGGTTTTTTTTTTTCATTTTTACATATTGGAAGCAAAGGCATAGAAGAACTGATGATAAGGTCCCAAAGGGACTGAACTCAGTTCTTCTGTCCCTTAACCACAGGATCCTCTTTCAAGTTGACAAGCTGATGAAAAAGTCTGCCCACAATGCCCTTTGCAGTCAGTGTTACAAAGCCTTACCAATAAATTCCTTGTCCAGAGCATGAAGTAACCAAAACTTGTAGGGTATATCCACAACAGAAGAGACCCTACACTTTCCTCTGAGCCTGTTTCCATGTGGTGGGCCAGAGACAACCCGCCAGCTGTTCAGAACTGAAGATCTATAGGACAAGCTATAGGACTTCCTCAGAGCTCCTCCAAATCTTCTCTCACCATATAAGATGCTCACCATAACCACAGTTAACCTCTGCTCCTGAAGAGGCTCAAGTCTTCTTCCAGAGCCTCTGGCTAAGGGGGCAGCACACAGCTTGACTGGCAACGATAAAAGGCATGCCAATCGCTTTGGGAGCAGGGAGGCATGGGACATTTTAGCTGGTGTTGAGCACCAATGATATAATAGCTTTGCAATTGAACTGCAGGTCTATGTGCAATATCAAAGTCTTCCCTGGAAGGATATAGACTATGTTTGCATTTAGCTCAACAACTTACGCTTTCCAAGCCAGTGGATTCATCCTGGATTGCATCAGGGAGCAGGATGATCATGCTGAGTTCATTACCAACATAAGGGAGCTCAAGGATTTTGGTCTTGAAGTCCCCAATATAGGTCATGTTAAATGTATCCTTCTTGAACATCATCTGCACAGGTCTGGTCTCATTCTAAAAATAAGGAGATGTCGGCAATTAGTACCAAGCTAGTATGCTGGTCTTAAAACACGAAGCAGGCAACCAGTTGCTCAGGGCTTTTTAGAATTTGACTAAAGAGAACTAAATACACCACAAAGTACAGCCCCACCACTGTCTTTTGTGGAGCAAGAGATAAGTAGTAAGGATCCCTGAGATAAGAAGGATAAAATTTAAATAAAAAAATCAAAATTATAATTTAAGATTTAATTTGTAATTACTAATGTGGAAATGTCTGAGAAGTTTCCTTTAAGGCAAAAAGGCAAGGACACAGATCTGCTCACTTAAGAACTAGTGACAAGCACTAAACACAGCTGGTAAGAAGCAGGGCCTGCGTTCCTTGCTTTGCATGAACACAAAGCAATTTCAGTGTAGGTATTTTTACTTTTAGTCCACGTGGCTCCAAGTGCTATAACAGAGAGGAATTAAAATATTTTAAAATGATACTAAAAATACCAAGAAAGTGAGAGCAGTGTTTTGAATTCTTAAAAGTCACATGGATAGTAAAGGCAGGGAAAAATTTTTCTTCCATTTTCTTCCATTTTCACATGGAGCATCAACTACTATTGTTTACATCATCATTTTCTCCTTTTCAGTTCAGAGTTTCATTGCTTTCTCCTTTACCTTCATGAGATAACCATGCGAGTAGTTTTTTGTTTTCAAAATAAAGCCCACTGAAACAATGCCCACAGAGAATATGGCAGAAATTATTTTTTTGCAGCAGTAATGACACATGAAAAGGATGGATGAGCAAAGAAAAGGCCACACAGCATGTGAAAATCAGCCAGTTAGTCCCAAGAAGTGCAAGAGTCACAGAAATAATGTCACACGATGCAGGAAAGACTCCTGGCACGTTAAAGTAAATCTTTGCCACTGGACAGATTGTAAAATAACTAGCTTAAAACTTCAGGTTATACCTGGGATTTCCAGTTGCTCATTTGAGGCTACTCAGACTTCTGCAACTCCTCAGTGGCTAGTCATAAGTAGGATGAAAATACAAACTTAAACCATTTAGTTTTACAGGGAAAAAGATGTACAGTTGTTTGCATACCTAAACACGAGTTTGTTGGGTGAGCCAAGGCAGCATTTCCACAGCCTTACATCGTACAACTTTCTCCAATAGTTACCTGGATCCCAAAGACTCCGACCTTAAAATAATAGTAACTGACCAAAGAAGAATTGCATTCAAAAGCTTCTGCATGTGTAGAAGTGCTCTTTTCTGCCTACGACCTAAAGAAACATTTCTTTTCTTATTCACACCAGTTTTATACTAAAATAATCAAGTTCACTACTCTCAAAGAGCATGACAGCTTCACTCAACTGTTCTCTTCTCAGTTCTGTAACTATGTAGAGGGCTACCTCTTAAACAAGCAAGCGTAAAGGAAAAAAGAGACAGAATGAAATACTTAATTGTTACCTAAGAGTTTCTAGTAATTATGTGAAACTTAACAGAAACTAAACAGAGCGCTCATGTCAAAGGGAGGGGCTATAAGGAACTTCCTATAGCCTACCTAAGGTAACCCTGTTTGAATTATTATTTTTTCTTCTTCCAAGTTAAATGTATGTATTTCAGAGTACTTCAAAGTAACAGCATACTGTCAGCATTTTAGCACATCATACCTTGTTAATATGAAATGGCGCTTCTGCTGTTCTCTCTTTGTTGAACTGCTTTTCCCAGTTGCCTTTGAAATAGATGGCATTCACCAACACAAGTCTGGTCTGTGAATTGAGAATTCCCTCTGCCAACATGTTCTGAATTTTACCTTTATGATACATAGAAAAAAATCCCAATTTTTAACGGTTTGACATGTACCTAATTATTATCTAATATAATTAATTACTCTGTAATTAATACACAATAGATAAAAGAATTATGTTCCAAACAGAGCAAGAGCTCAGTGTTTGGGTTTTTTTTAATTCACAATATTTTACCTTGAAATAGCTGTTCACCCAATCCCTGGCTGCCATTAAACACCACAGAGCATTCTGCAAAAACACTCACCTTCAGTCCTTTCCTCTACCCAGCCATTTATTTGTTTTCTGGAATCCTTCCAAGCATGCACGAAGTCAGTCTGTTCTAGTCCAGCATGGTAGAATTTCTGACTTGACTCTATAAATGACTAACATGGACATTCAGAACAGCTTTTCAGCAATATATTTTACTCTCATTCAGCCACAGATTATTCTTAAACACGCCAAGAAAATCTGCCCACTTTGCTCCCCCAGCTTCATACAGAGCCGTTAAAGTTTGGTCAGGTATGTTCCTATTTGGTTTTATACCACCTATTTGAACTAGGAATTGTCCTCTGTATGTTATTAGGTCAAATGGCTTAACAGTTTACTATGCTGGAAAGTTGTACATAACTTAATTCAGAAATGATGTGGCTAGTTTTTGGGGGGTTTGCTTCAGTGAGAGAACATATGATTTTGTAAGTTTCTCTACGCAAATTTCATTGTTAAGCCTCCCAGACCAATAGAAAACTTAGTTCAGAGGGGAAACTGATTTTTCTTAAGGAAAAAACACATACCTTCTCTCTGATTTAATATAGCTAGATCTTTATTATACAGATGCAAAGTTTTAAAGTACAATCCATGTAATTTTTATCTACTAGACAACTAAAACACTAGCATTCTTTATAAAAAGAATAATTGTAAATCACTCCCTGCTTCCTCCCCCCCCCCCAAAAAAAAAAAAAAAGATCCTTAGATGCTTCTCTAGAAGCAAGAAGATGTAAAGGAATATGTATAACAATACCTATTATTCTTATTTAGATCTTGTGATAAGGAAAAATCTTAAAAGTCATGTAATTCTCTCAGTATATTCTCTGGATGACTTACCTAACAGAAAGCTACAAAATACTCCCCATGCTGAAGAGCAGGAACAATTCTTTCTTATCATATTTACACATGATCAAGAGAAGAGAGATATGCCAACCATTTGTCCCACAGCCAAAAATAAGAACAGGTTGTGGAACACTGAAGATTTAGAGTCTGACTGCTTTTATAGTGCTTTGCACCAGTTGTGCATTCAGGTCACAGGCTATTCAAAAGAAGCTTCTCCAGCAAGTTCAGATACTGGGCTTTGGCACAATCTATCACATTGTTAGGTCTCAGTCTAGAAAGTTTGGAAAATAAACCCCAAAGTCTGCCTTTGGCCTCCAAAGAAAATAGGTAGCAAGTACATTATGCTAAAAAGCACCACAAATTTAATAGTTACTCACTGAGAGAAACTCAAACGTCTTTTCTCCGTAAAGTCGGTTAGCAGTTCTCAGTATATACTTGGCAGTTGGATCATTAATTTCAGAAAGAAGTGATTGATACTCATTGTGAGCATCCTCAGCTTTCTTCAGAGAAAGCACCTGTAGAAAGATAAACATCCTCAGCAGACTCCATGCCTTCTTCTAAACACACTTGCTTCAGCACAGTTTTGGTTTTTTTAAGTGACTTGGGTTCAAAAACTGTGACTTGAAGCTAAAAGTTTTCATCACACCTCCTATGCCGAGCTTATAATGCAAATCAGATATGATACACCCTGCCAGATGTTGTACAAGTAGTAAGTCACGGTGCAGAACAGTCAGCAGTATTTAGTTTCATTCACTCAAGCCAAGCATTAGAGGATGACAGAATGGCTGAGGTTGAGAGGGACCTTTGGAGGTCATCTGGTACAACCCCCCAGCTCAAGCAGGGTCACCTACAGCTGGTAACTCACAACTATGTCCAGATGGCTTCTGAATATCTCCAAGTACGGCAAAATATAATTTTGGAGAAACTTTTACAGATTCAAATGAAAACAAAATATGTGTTTCTACCCTCTTCCACTTTGCAAAAGAAGCAAACATAGTAACAAAAATGACTGATTATGCATTTAATACTGTCAATTGTCTATGTAAAAAATATGTCAAGCGGTATTTGCCCCCTGAGCAAGTTTAAAAAATTAAACCAAGGTGCAGCTACCATTTTGACATGAATATAGGGTGGATTTTTATTTTTTAATGTGCCTGGCTACATTTTCAAAACATGTACAGTCTGATATTAAGCCCAAAGAAGATAGAAGAAAATATTTTATGTAGCCAGAGATTCCTCAAACCCAGAAAAAAATCTTCAATATGTCATTAAGAGGTACCTAGGAAAGATCTCTGTCTCAAAAAACCAAAACCACAAAAACCCACAGACAACAAAAACCAGGAACCTCTTAATTACATACCAACAAAAGCTCCCCCTATAAGAGCAGGTACTGCTTACATACATACCAAAGGAAGACCTCTGCTCTCTGAGACCCGAATGACAATAACAGTTTAGCATAAGTGCAAGTCACAGACATAAGACAGATTTGTTGTTCATCAGGTCCTAAATTCAATACACTAAGTTTATTATACATACCTTTGCTATTTGGGCTTCGGTGTTGCCTTTTGAACCCAGCAAAACCATAGACAAAGCAGAAGAAATACTAAAAGGAGAAAAGAATAGATTCTGCGTGCTTTTGTTGTCACACAGCTTTCTTAAGAGGTCGAGTGCAAAAGTGGTATTTGCTGCACAGAGGTTATCCATGGTTCAGAGCCTGGCAGATAAAACACAACCGAAGAACGGCTCAAGTTTATTTGAATACAAACTGCTAAGTTATTTCTGTCTTTTACATCTCACAGTATGAACTACGCAGCAAGTGTCATAATTAGGCTGCAAAATTATCAGCTTACTGAAAAACTCATTTGGTAGAACAAAACTCTTAAATCCCATACTAGGCACTTATTTTAGGGATTTATTGTTTGCTTTTCTATTTCAATCCCTTACCTGTAATAGACAGCAATTCCCACTGGTGTCCTTAGATTCTTCATTACATCTTTTGAGATTATCATATACAACAGTATTTTCTTTAGGATTTATTAAAACAAGTCTCCTGACTTCACAAAGACAATTATTTGCCTTTAGAGGAAAACCAGAGCAAAGAGGCATCAGAATTATAAACTCTTACCTTCTCTAAGTCTACGTATCTTCAGTATTCCCTTCAGCTTACTAGTATGTGTGCACACTGTGTTTTAAACCGAACAGCCAGTCTGGTAGAAGTTGCAGAATGACTTGACCTACAAGATAAAAAAAAAGAAAAGAAAAAAGTTATTTGGTCAGCATAACAGATTACCAATTTCCTGCTGTAGTAACAAAGAAAAAAATCAAAGTCCACTTCTTTTCCATTTTATTGCCTACAACGCGGAAACACACACACACAATAAGAAAACCTGCTTACAGATAACTTTGTGGTACATGTACACCTCAACATGTGTAACCTGATGTCTGTCATAGTCTATATACAGTGTAGGTAGTTAACTAACCTGAGATTAAACCACACACCTATAAAAGGAGTAATAGATATTAGAATGCTGAGTTAACTACAGATAAATCACTAGACATCCTAAGATATCAGCTAGTAGTAAAGGTTTCTGTGGTTTGTTTTTCCCTTAAGGCAGTGCCTAGTGTTGCTATGTTGCTACAAAATACAAAACCAACACCTAATTCATATTACTAATTCATTATCTCAAACAAATAGGCGGAAAGAACAAGTTTCTGCATGCATGATTTTCCACCGAAGAAAGTGTCTTGCTAGTAGCTTTGCAATAAACAGTATTTTTTTTTCTCCTGTTTCTCTTCTCCCATAACTGAAAGGAAAAAAAAAAAGGCAAGTTTAGATGGAAATAGTCCTCCAATTCTACATGAAACAAGTTATTTAACTACATGTACTTTACAGCATAAGTAGGAGGCACTTAGTATTTTCAGTTCATGGTGGTCACAATAAAGACCAGAACTTTCCTACTGTCCTGATACTAGATTGCTAACAATAAGTTTGGGTTTTGTTTTTTTTTTTTTTACCTGGAGATCAAAACGCACAGCAATAGTGACAGCAGCAAGCAGTACTATCTAGAAAGTTTTTGCAGGGCTTCCATGACAGACAAGAGTGTAGAGACACAAGGACACAACTCACACTACTTGCCTACCAGAAAAATCAGACAATTTGCTTAAATGCAAAGTAATATTTCAACAGCTGGGACACAAGGCTAGGAGTTGTATCTCTACAGTTATCCATGCCTTCTCCGCAGCTCACAAATAGCAACATAACAACCGATACCCTTCTCCTCAGAGTGGTTTTGGAGACCTTACAGAATGACTGCACTTTAAGGAACAAAAACCATATGATATAGTCGACTGTAAACTTGCTGCAACTCTCAGTGATCAGAGGGTTTGCTCACAGAAAGTCATTCCTCACTCTGGTCTCCCCACAGGCTCAGCAGGTGGGCGGTGAGGCACTCCTGCAGAGGTTTCCGGATGCCCTGACCCTGTGTATTCCTACCACTATGACTTTGAAGCATATCTTCTCAGCAGTTGACACCTATGCTTTAGGACAGTCTTTATGGACAGAAAGGCTGTATCTAGATTAAACAGCAGATACATACCGTAGCATCCCTCCCAACTACCAGTTGTGCCATGGGGGAACGTGGCCAGAGCAGGGTGCAGCTGTCCTCCAGCCTGCACCCCAAGACACATCCCACCAAGACTACGACATGGATTAGCACCTGATACCTGCGGATGACTCCCCACCTTGCCTCAGAGGAGTCACAAGCCAACTTGTGCCAGTGTTTTCCAACACTGCCAGAGGGGGAACTCCGGGTGATGAGCATCAGATGGTGTCCATCTCCACAGAGGAAGCCACATGGGCAGCACAAATATCCCTCTTCCCACCACCCTGAACTAAAGCATGCTTTCTTGAGGGAAGTGAGATACATTTAGGATTTGGAGAGTCAATAGCAACGTTAAAACGCTTGCAGGATAAGATCTCTGACAGCTCCAGAGAACAGCTCCCCACGGGCAGGCCGTGGGAGACAGGGGATGCCAGAGCCCTGGAACTGCCCACCACCGCCGGCCCTCGGCCCCTTGTGCCGCAGCAGGCGCTGAGAGAGGCAAGCAGGCGCCCCGGAGGCCTGACACTGCCCGAGTAGGTTCAGGCCAAAGGGGCCAAGGCTTTGGCACCCGCCAGGGCGTAGGCTAGGGAACAGGAACGGAGCCAGAAGACCCTCCTCCGCGCCCGCATTGGACTCTACGCCATGAAACACCTTATAACTCCACATTTCCGCAGTGCCCCCGTCGCTCCTACAC